GTGTATATAAGCCGATAGGCGGCGCTGTTGAATAATAAAGACGTGAAATAATTTAAATCCAACACTCCCACTAATTATTTCAAGTCTTTCATTCCCAACATCTCTACGTTTTTGGTAAACTTCTGAGTTATTAACGGCTTAGTAAAAACATCGCCCAATTGGTCTTCACTGCAAACGTAGTAAATCGAAATCTTCTTCGACTCGTATAGCTGCCGAATAAAATGTAGTCGAACATCGATGTGTTTGGTTCGTTGATGCAATTCCGAATTTTTGATAAGTCGAATTGCGCTCTGATTGTCGATGTAAAGTGACGGTGGGCTTTCTTGTGCATAGCCTACGTCACGAAGTAACTGATGTAACCAAACTGCTTCCTTTGCACCTTCACATGCTGCCATAAATTCAGCCTCAGTGGTTGAAAGTGCTACTGTTTTCTGGCTGTGACTCTTCCAGGTAATAACACCTCCACCCACCAAAAATACGTAACCTGTGGTAGATTTTCGCGTATCAACATCACGCGCAAAGTCAGAGTCAGAATATCCTTTCAATGTCGTGGAAGGACCAGAGTATTGAATTCCTCGTTCAGCTGTCCCATTCAAGTATCGTAGAATACGCTTGACTGCCGAAACATGTGAGGGCTTTGGATTATCCATAAATCGGCTGACTTCTCCCACTGCATATGAAATCTCTGGTCTGGTCACAATCGCAGCAAACATAAGCGATCCTATCGCTTGTCGATATGGGAATTCAACACACCCATTTTCACATGATTTAGTTAACGTGCTATTGCTGTCTGCTGGACTGGATATGTGCTTCGAATGTTGCTTATTGAACTTCTCTATAACCTTTTTGATATATGCACTTTGATTAATGAAAATTGTCTTCTTCTTTCGATCTCGGTGTATTTCAATGCCAACGTAATTACCGTCTTCTCCTCGTGTCATCTCGAAATTGTCACTCAAATGAGCCATCACTACTTCCAGTGCCTGTTTGCTTTTTGACAAAATCAATCCGTCGTCCACATACAACATTAGGATAATCTTATTGCCATTTACACTACCGACGAACACACATGGATCTGCCTTCGATTGGATCATGATATAATCGTTCAGGAATTTTGTGAATTTCTTGTTCCACACTCTGGATGCTTGTTTTAGTCCATACAAACTTTTCTTGAGGCGGCAAACTAGGTTCTTATCGTCAACTTCAAGTCCTTCTGGAACCTCCATGAAAATTTCCTCTTCTAGGTCCCCATTTAAGAACGCTGTCTTCACGTCGAACTGCACCATTTCCAAATCTTCTACTGCGGCGATCGCAAGAACGGTTCGAATCGAATCGTAGCGCACCACTGGAGAAAATGTTTCCCCATAATCAACGCCCTCCTTTTGTGAATAGCCCTTTGCAACTAGGCGTGCCTTGAAAATTGGGCCGGACATACTCGATTTTCGCTTAAAACCCCATCGACATCCTATTACGTTGTGGTCCTTTGGACGCTTCACCAAATCCCATGTCGAATTTTTCTTCAGTGAACACAACTCATCTTTAATTGCGTCTCTCCACTTTATAGATTCTTCTGAATTGACCGCATCTTCGTATGTGCTTGGCTCTAAAACTACAGCTGAATATCCACTTTCAATTAGACGGCTTGGTTTCTTCAACCTCTCGCGAAAACCATAGCGTTCAGTACTACGTGGTCTTTCTTCCTCTTTTTCGCCACACGGTATATCATGGCTTGTATCGAAAAAGTCATCCGACACGTCTGAATTATTATGCTCATTTTCATCTGTTCCAGTATTTTCTGGAGACTGCTTAATAGTTGGCAATTCTTCATACGATGTTTGCTTGGATGTTTGCCCATCACTATCATCATCGCCAGCTAGCTGGTACACTTGAGCGTGATTCAGAAATTTCTCGTTTATTTTTACGTTGCAACTTACAATTATTTTCCGTGTAGCTGGATCATAGAGCCGAAAATTCTTTGATGTGGACTCGTACCCAACCAGAAATACCTTTTTTGCCTTGGCATCCCATTTCTTACGTCCACTTTGTTTTGGTATCTGCACGAAGCATTCACTGCCAAAAATTCGCACATGTCCCATTTCAGGTTTCGTCCCAAACCATTCTTCATATGGCGTTGAATTGAGACACTTTTTTTTTGACGATCGATTGAGAATGTACACAGCCGTTCGTACCGCTTCTGGCCATAATTGCTTTTGCAAACCACTGGCAAGCAACATTGTGCGAGCGCACTCTACTACAGTTCGATTTTCACGCTCTACACGCCCATTTTGCTCCGGTGTGTACGGTGCAATCCGTTCAACTATCACCCCAGCATTACTCAGCATTCGCATACATTCCTTATTGACAAACTCTGTGCCATTATCAAAACGAATGTGTTTCACAGAATTACCTGTTGTGCTGCGAACAAGTGACAACAAAGCCTTAAATTTTTCATACACCTCATATTTATTAGCCAGATTGTACACATATTTAAAACTCGTTGCCTCATCTTTAACTAGAAGAAAGTAAGACATTCCCCCAATACCTACTTCTTCCATCGGCCCACACAGATCGGCATGCAAATATTCGCCTTTCTCGGTCACTCGGGTTTGCGCTGATTTATGTGAAACACGTTGCATTTTACCAAGATGGCAGTCTTCGCAGAAAAACTTTGTTTCACTCGACAATTTGACGCCTTCAATCAAATTCTGGTTGCACATACGTTTTATTGCATCTACATTCAGATGCCCAAACCGATGATGCAATTGCTCAAGCGTGACGGTTGCAGCGCACGCTCGTTCAATAATTCTCTGTCGAAATACCATTCTCAATTGCTTACTGTCATCTTTCACACCCACAGCATATATTTCACCATCAACATCTGTCAGTTTGCAACCATCATGAGAAATCACCATTTGAAATCCTTTTGAGGTGGCGGATGCCGTTGAAAACAAGTTCTGCTTCAGTTCAGGAACATGCTGCACATTCCTAAGCTGTCTCTGTAGCCATTTGCCTTTAACCTTTGCTTCAATTAAAATTGTTCCCTTGCCACGAATCAATAAACGATCATTATTTGCTATTTGTACAAATCGCTCAACTTAATACTTCTTATAATCTGTAAACCATTCAATGCGACCTGTCATGTGCTCTGTTGCACCTGAATCAGCAATCCAAATATTCTCAAGATTCGTAGTGAACCCATCACCGACTTTGCCACAAAATGCAACATCACTACCAGCCTTTTTGCGTTCGGCAAACTTTTCACCGCGCTTCGGACATTCACGCTTCCAATGTCCAATTTCATGACATTTGTTACACTTTGTTTTCTTTTTCAGCTCATCAATCGATGCTGGCGTTTTTTTGTTAGTCCGCTGTTGTTTTGATTTGAATTTCGCACTGAAGCCACATCTGATGGTGTATCATCCACTTTGTTCATTTGATCCTCCTCCAGCTGCAAACGAGCCATCAAACTATCCAACGTTCTTGCTTCTTTTATGTTGTACCAAACTGTCTTGAAGTTACGAAATTTGGGTGGCAAACTGCTAATGATCCGCACCATTTTAATGTTCTCAGATAGTTTTTCACCTTGGTCTTCGATTTCATGTGCCATTCTACTCACCTTTGACACATACGACGTAACTGATTCGCCCTCAGTCATTTTCAAAGAAAAATATTCCTCATATAGATTCATAATGCGCACCTCGCTACGTTTTTCATGCAAATTAGACAACTTATCTGCAATCTCTTTCGCAGTCTTACACATAAGAATATGATTCGCTTGTTCATTGTCCACCGATGAAATTAAAATCGCCATTGCTTTGCCATCATTTCTGTCGTATTGACTTTTCTCAGCAGCACTTGCAGTTTCACCAGGAACATTGCCGGCCATGACGTCCATCAGGCCTCTGGATTTCATCACAGCATCAATTTGGAACTTCCACAACTTGTAATTCATACCATTTAATTTGTGATGAGTGACGGCTACACCATTGCCAGGTTTTTCGTCTACTAAATCCATTTTGTGTAATAAACAATAAGCAAATACTACAGTACGGCGACACGACTATGTATTTGACAATTTCTATTAAAATTTACAACTTATCTGGTGCAAGAATGTTCTCGAATTTTTTTAACCAACACGTGGGCTTTCATACACGCATATATGTACATACATATATATTCATATACCACAGCAAAGCGCGAACCAATCTTCAATACGATGAATATGGCTTATTCAGTAGAATTACTTAGATTTTCCAACTTTTAAGTGTTCTTCAATTTTACTCGATAAATACAGCCACTGGGCCCATAACCTTTTGGATTTCAGTGGTTATAATAAAACAATAAAATCTGTGTTCGTATGGAAAAGTAGCTTATGTCGAAAGGCCGGCTTTAGTGTAATGCGGCATTCCCTTTATTTTTTAAACGACAAGGAATTTTTTGATGAGACCTAAAAAGAATATTGACTTGATAGTACTTGAACTATTTCTTGCACGTTTATTTGCTAAAAGTTGTTTAACGGCTTAGCGCTCGTAAGTCATTCGCAATCGAATGCTGCGAATGCCTATTTATACTAAAGCCAGCCTTTCGACATAAGCTACTTTTCCATACGAACACAGAAATAGTTTTAATATAATTTAATGAGAAAATAAAAAACGTGTTGTTA